ATAAAGGCATTTAAGGTTAACGTATTTCACAATACTGTTAATGTTTTCATTAATTACAAACCAGCATAGTTGTGGTTTCTTAAAAAATGTGACATTATTATCATTAGTTATGCCGCCAGGGTACAGGATAACACAGGGTGACTAAAAAGTTGTGATAACTACCCTATTATCTAAAAAAAATCATATTTTCTTTAAGACTTATTAGACATTGTATTGGTATCACAACATTTTGGTTACCCTATACATTTTCAAGTAAACCATAAGAGGCAAGACTATAGTTAGTTAGTACTGACTCAGTAGTCAAAACTTGCAGTATTTCCTCTCTTTATAAAAAAAAGCATTACTACCACAAGAATTCTTAAAATGTTAGGCTGCGGGTCTTCAACAGATTTGTAGATGGATTAGCTTTACCTAAATTTAAATCCAAACAACAATTTAGTTTTATATAACATCTTTCACATCAGGATGTTGAAAGTGTGTATTCGTGGGGGGAACAAGGGAATTTGGTCGAAACCACTTAAAATATCAGTCAGTCTCAGAATTTGGACAGAAGATTATGTTGTGTGTTTTTCTTCTGTTTTTGTCTGAAGTTGAGAAGGATTGTCTGAGGGATTCAGTTGGGAACCAATGCAAATATACAATTTTAACAAGTCATGGGGATTGATGATGATGGTAATCTGTGCTGGGCTGCTTAGAGTATTTTGAACAGTATCCTCTACATTAATAATGGGAAATGCCATCAACTCACCAGCATCCAAATACACTAAATATACTGAACACAGAACGTCACCTCTATAATTAGCTAATGGTGCTGGAGTTGCAGGTTCTTGAACAAGACTAGCTGTTAGGATAAGTTTAAAGTGTGGTCATGATCTAATGGTATCAATACCCACATTTTATCCCACTTTTATAAGTTTAATGAGAATGCTACTGAATTAACAATACTACATAAACCTATGAATATCGTATGCTCAACTCAAATCATATGAACCCCTTCCACAGATTTAGTGATCATAAATACTTCTTGGGAATATTTGAACCTTAAAATGTGGCAAATATTCTATCTCCCCCCACCTACCCACTTCCTCCCAAGAACATCCTATTTGTAGAGCCCCGTGATTTCGCAAATAGCTTGTTATATTTTATGTAATGTTAACTTCCTTGTTCTTCAACTCAAGTCGCTTTGCTGCCTTCTATGGTCAAGAATGGAAATATTTTTCAGAATGAGGTCCTGACGAGGGAAACGGGATCAAAGGAAACCCGATCAATACGACTACCACATACAAAGTAATTAAAGAACAGTGTCCCAGGCATGCCCTCTTCCCATGGTGGAATGTTCAATTAATTTTTTGTGGCAATTCAGCCAGGCCCAATGGTAGGTAATTAAACAAACTGCATACGCGTTGAACACTAGAAGTACCCAGAAATGATTTACGCATGCTGTATTATAGAAAACCTTTATACTGCAGTATGAGAATTGCAACAATCATTTAGCACTTAGAGCAATTGAAATACCAGAACCAATGGTAGTATAGTTTGTTTCCTACTTTGTACATCACTAAATCTTGCAACTAGGTAACCCGATGGTGGAGGACCCCCATATTAGATTCAAAATTGCCCATAAAAGACATTTGAATTTTTGATTCTGATAATTTGATAGGACATGCAAACCTAAATAATCCAATCAAATGATTTGAGCAAACTTACTGCCAAGATAAACTGATAAGAGTTGTACACTTTTAATTCTTAGGAGGGATAAAACAGATTCACCTTTTTTTGTTCAAGGTTTGGCATGAAGTGAAGGATTCCATTTACCTTAATGCTTCACCACATTTCATTAGATCAAAAGGATTTCATTACCAGATGATGAAACTTTCAATTTTAGAAAAAAAGAAGCCGGAAAGGAGATTTTTGAGGCGGCTGTGTAGTTGCACTGTTTGATGTGGTTTTCCTGTGGTTCTAAAGCCGAAAGAATGTAACCTGTGTTTTTTTTCTTTTTTTAAACAAATTACTGACCCTGCAAAAAGTTATTAGCACTAGATTTTAGAAGCAGCTAAGAACATAAGAATTTGCTAGGCAAAAGAAGATCAAGGTCCATCTAGTTTGCCTTCCACCATTCTGGCAATCGCTTGACATGTCGTGTCCCAAATTGTATCCCAAGATATTATTTTCCGACAGAAATCTTTCTAATTTGTTCTTGAAACAACCAACGTTTTCTGCTTCCACTGTCTCCCTAGGGAGTATGTTACGTAAGTTTACTACTCACTCACTGAAGTAGTGTTTCTGCAGATTAGTTCTGAATTTACCCCCCCTTCAATCGCAGGCTAAGCATCAAGGACTCGTGGAAAGACTGGTATTTTCATGGTCCTATTTGAACTTGCGTGGGAGTTTTTCCCAAGTTCATTACATGTTTATTTAGTTCAATATATATTTTCTTTATGCTATAGATCAAAATATTGTGGTAGCTAACACTTTCATGGCACTAAGATAACCATTTTGCAAGTGATAGAATGCAATGACCCCAAAAATTTAAACATGGCCACATATGACACTGTACTTTGAGGTTCCAGTGCACTATGCTACAAAGTGGTAGGGTTTGCAGGTGCAGCAGGTTAATGCCCTGTATTGAGAAAAATACATTGATTTAAGCCCATGGATCAACTGAGGTAGTTTCACCTTTGATTTTCTCACTTTCAGAACTGTTCCCAGACACAGTCACCCTACTGAAATGTCCTTAGACACTTGCCATCAGACAATTATAAAACACATTTGTGAGGTTAAATTAGACAACAACAACAACAAAATTACATTTGTATAGCGCCTTTCACGTCGGGAGGACGTCCCAAGGCACTGGACAATCAGTGTTTTAGGGGACAAGAGGAAGCCAAATAGATATAAAGTGACTAGGGCGTTAAACTGCAGACAGGTGAATAAAAAGAAATAAATAACAGAGAGCTACAGAAGCTCAATAATTTAAATGAATAAAAACAACATAATATTAAATCTGCAAACAATTAATATGCTTTCTAAAGCACACATATGGAAATGAGAGAACTGTATCTTAGCAGTAGGTACGAAAAGGTGAGAACAAATGGGTCTGACGATATACTAAGCAATGTATTGGAATGATTTAATTATTCTACAGTGTCTTCTTGTAGGTACATTTGCAGTCCTTGATTCTGAAGTGGAAATTCTGCAGTTGCAACCTTGTTCTGCCAAGAAACTGCTTCACTGCAATGTGACAAGTTTGTGTCTGAAATCAACCAGTTTCTAAAGGCTTCTCGTGAACAGTTTACCTCCCAACAGTAAACCTGTTTAGATGTTCCTCAATATTCCCCAAATACAAAAAAGTTCAGCTGGGAAAATGCTTTTATGCAAATGTAATAAGCACACGCAGGTTGTTAAAAGGTGTCTTAGAATTAAAGTCGGTCACTTATCAAATGCAAGGATTATTATTATTAAGTAGCTGTTTCTATATAGGTGGGTTTAACCATTTAATTACATAAATATTGTATTGCTTTACCATAGTGTTGAGCCTTGTATAGATTCAGAAACTTTCTCATGATTACTATACAAAGGATATTGGATTTGTACATAAATTCAAATAAAGCTGTTCATCACTGTTGCTACACGTTACAATGTTAATCCCATGGTAACCATATTATTTACCATTTGGGTGGATCATTGTTTGTTCGACACGTATTAAGTTTTTTTAAAAACTGAAAGTATTTATTTGCTTTAGTGCGTTTATATTTCTTTATGGTTCTGTTCATCGAATATTTTAACAAGAAAGGTTGCACAAACTGATTCTGTGATATGAATGATTATGATTTTATTCAACTTATTATTGCCTTTTGTGTCCTTTATAATTTTGTTAAAAAATGAAGCGCACCATTGTCCCAGTAGAGTTCTTATCATAAGCATTCATTTACTAAGCAATGGGAAGCAAGCATTGTCAAGAAGGAACTTCCATTGAGACCATCCGCATGAAAATATTGAAGAAAGGCCCCTCTCTGCTGCTTTCCATTTAGAGATGTGCTTTGATGTACTTTCAGCAAAACACTGCTGACCTTGCTTTGAAAGTTTGGATTAAAGTGTGGGAATATGATTTCTGATTTAGATTGATGTGAAGAGATAATTAGTGCACCTTTGTGTCTTGACAAATAAAGCTGTGTCTCGCTAACCACCAGAAGAAGAATGAAACCAATGACAAAACTCAAAGCAAAACTTTTTCCCTTCAGTCTGACATTATAGAGTAATTTTCCTCCTCTATTATAATACTAATAATAATCCTTATAAATGATTTTGAAGATTATTCTCTTAATTTTTCTTATTAATCCCTGATCTCTCAAGTCGTATGCTTTTTGTAAAAAAAAACTGGCATTGAGAGCAGAAAAGGATCTGCTCAGGATTTAACCAATGCAACCTCTCTGACCTCCTCACTGCCCGATCCAGACACCCAGCGTCTTCGCTCAACTGACACCAGCCTCGTGCTTGTCCCTCGCACCCTCCCCCCTACCATCGGAGGTCGCACATTCAGCCACTACGCCCTGAAACTCTGTAACATTCTCCCTCAATCCCTCCTCCTTGCCCCCTCTCCCGTTTTCCCCCTCTCCCGTTTTTCAAGTCCCGCCTGAAAACCTTCCTTCTCAACTGCTTACGGCCACATCCCCCCACCGGCTCAGAGTCAGGCTCCACCACTGTTAAGCTCTCTTGAGACACGGCCCTACGTGGAGGGGGTGCCATATAAGTGCAAGATGTTGTTCTAGTCAATTGTAAGGTACGGAGGCAATTCTATCAATATTTCCTTCCTCAGCGGAGAAGTGCCTGGCCTCTATTTAGCTCCTCCCAACGATAAGTGGGTTACTTAGCAATAGTATTTCAGTGCCTTGGGACATCCTCCCAACATAAAAGGTGCCATACAAATGTAATTTTGTATTGTACTGTTTACAATACTGTACTGGTTCCTTGAACTAAATGATTTTCTCATCTCTTTACAGTGCACTTGGAGGGAATTCTGCCCTTCATATCCCACCATTCCCCAGCGGTGGTTGTCTTATAGATTATGTGCCACAAGTTTGCCAATTACTTACCAATAAGGTAACTACAAATATATATATATATTTTAGAAAATACAAATACAGAGGGTAAGTAGTAAATGTGCCAATTTTCAGCAACAGTCACTAAAGAGTAAAATGAATTTCTATTACTGGTTGATTTTTTTTTCCCCTCATCTTTAGTCCATGGATATATTGGTCGTTCAACTCATTATCATTTGCTCATTTGCTTAGGCAGACTAGTTGCTGTGTTTCTGTACAAAAAGTTGTGTGATGTTACCAATATTCCTTTCTCATTCAACTTCATTTAAAAAAGCAGATTCAATTTGAGAATTCATCTTATTGCTGTTTGTAGGATGTGTTGCGGGAAGCGGAAAGAAAGTAATTTGGATTTGTATCAGTTCCTGTTTCCCGAAGATAGGCTCCAGAACCTTTCACAATGCCACTCTAACAGGCCATAGGGTAAAGCAGGTTACCACACTTTATTTTCTCCTCTGCTCTATGGTTATGGCTAACCATCTGGCCTACCCAAGATGATGCAGCTACAATTGAGGAATCCCCATATGGTAGGAACCCACATCCTGCAACTCAGATTCCCATGGATCTAAGTTAAAAATCCATTCCAGACAGATGAGATTAAAGCATCTCGGTTACAATATTCTATCTAACATGAGTGGTTCTGTTTCTCCTGGGATGCTAGTACAGAGTATAAAAGCAGTTAAACACTAGTTGGCACTGACTGGAAATGTTAAGTCCGGATGCCTGGTGTGGGAAATGGGCAAGTCTTGCTTGAGAGGTGTTTTTTTGATCATTGAGTTAATTTTTATAGCCAACACACTGCATTGACCATTGTGCAGAAGTGGCTCTCCTAAATGCATACTCTATAATCATATTAAACAAATGGTCATAACTACAGAGAAATTCTGAAAGCATGGCTTTGATTTTTTTCTTCATGAATATTAATAAAAATATCAAAAATATGATGCATACGGTTGTTCTCTTTTCAAAATTAACTTTTAAATGTTTAAGTGTTTTATTTCTTGCTATTTCTGTCTTAAATGAAGGTGCAGTATATAATCCAGGGCTATCACAGAAGGAGAGAGTACATTGCAGCCTTCCTGAGTCACTTCGGAACGTATGTTTGTTTGGTTACCCACTTTGGGATCTGTGTTGCAGTCTTATGTAAAGTGAATTCATTGACTATACGTAAAGTAAATTGACTGAACACTCCATAACTGCAAGCAATGATTGATTTGTGTAAGACCTGAGGTGGCAATTTTTTTTTAACTTTTATTGTGAATTTTCTAACTCCAAACTTTTTGAATACATTTTGAATTGCTAAAAATTAGACTTGCTGATTCAAAGTTATTGGCTTGAAGAGTTTTTTTTAAAAAGAACACACAATCTGTAGCATATGGGTACAGTATATGGAACGTCTCAGTTAACCTGGCACCAATATGCGAAATATATTTTTAGAGTGAAGTATGTGGATGGAAAACATTTTTCAGAAACCAAAACATTTTGAGAAATCAAAAATCCTTCATTCCTCAGAGTTTTAATACTGTGTACTGTTGTAAAATCGTGGACTTAATGCATTCCTGATTCTGCTTATGTTGCTTGTAAAAAGAGAAGGTGGTTGTTATTGGGAGGTATATTTAAAGGATCATTGGGATTTTTGCCATGGGGAACTGTGCTCAAACCGACGTATTACGGAGAATTTGAGGAATTTCATTTATTTTCAATAAAAAATATTTTTTTGGCAAGATTTTTGCTGAGAGGATTAATCCAGGCCAGATATTTGGAATTAAGTTATCTTCTTAATGTGTGTGTGTGATATATATCTGTTACAAAAAAAAGATATTTATGTTTTAGGATATTTCCATGTTTTCTCTCAGCATTTTACTGGGCAACAAAACATTGTATTTCTGATTACAAATCCTTGAAAATCTTTTTAAACCTGTTAAAAGTTTCCAACTACATAATCACAATTTTATTTTGAAAGTGTAAATAAAGTCTTGAGAGATTCATTTTGATTTAGTGAAAAATATATATTTTCATAACGCAGGACTTTCCCTATAGCAACAAATCCTTTGATACTTGGAATCCGCCTCTTCCTGTACTAATAATGTATGTTTACAGGGAGCAGCTGGACACATTCCACAATGGCTCCATTAGTTATGGGGGGGCGGGGGGGGGCCGTGAAGATTTGAACCAGCCATGAAGCTGAACTGGACCAATATTGGATATTGTATGTTAACTTGGGGATTCAAAGAAAATTGCTGAGTTTAGTAATTGAGTATTTTCCAGTATCTATTGCATGAATTTCAAATAAAAGATGTTCCCTGTAGACATCTGCTTTGATTGTACATCGGTTGTGCATTTGTGGTTTTGCATTCTGTGATGTCCATTCTTTGGATCAGTTTCTCTTTTGATACTTTGAATGGTCAATTAGGTATGACTTGTATGTCCTTACTGAGTATCAAGAACTGAGTGATTAACATGCTGGACAGTAGCTTTTCTGGACAACATTAGTCTGATTCAGATCCATTCGAAGAATTCTTCAACATATTCATATTCAATACAGATAAACACAAAATACTTTGCCAATGAAATATCTGAATTGAGACAGTCCTCTTTGGCAGCCTGGGTAGCTGGGTAGCAGCCAGATGGCTCCACAGTATCCCAGGACAATGCTGATGACAGCCCAGCCAGCCTGGTTCATCGGCAAGACTTGGAAGGGTAGACCAGTCACTGGGGGCAGGAACTCTTTCCACTAAGCTTCTGTTAACCCTGTAAACCAAAGCCCTTATCAGCAGAGTGGCCCTAGCTGTACAAGCAGTGGAAAAGCTGGCCAGATAGCTTTCAATGGCAAGCAAGGCCGTTTTGGCTGGTTAGACTCCAGCTAGACTCCATGACTTTACTGCAGATATCAGCAGCAGATTTCTGAAGTTTTTTTTGAACAAATGATGATAACAAATAATTGTTTCACCTGCATGAACCTGCAGGTAGGTTAAACAAATAGTGTGCCGATGACATAATCAGACTCGTTGTTCCACTTGTCAGATGTCTGGATGTCAGAAAGTCTCAGACAAGCTCCTTATGATTTGTTTTGCTGTTGGCAGCTGACTGAAGGCTGTTTATGCTTGTCTGCTATTTTGGGTTTGGGTCAGTTAGACTTACAGATAGCTCAGATACACTGTGCTGTTCAGTGACATCATCCCTGATTGTCTTAGGTTTGTTTGGTCAATAGAATCTCCTTTTTAAAAAAAAGTTTCTGTCAAAAATAAAATTCATGTACATGGTAACAATCTCAAAGTACTATATTGTGTCAGCCTGGCTCAGTTGGTCGCACTCTCACCTATGATTCAGAAGGTTATGGGTCCATGCCCCACATCGGGACTTGGAACCCACACAGTCTATGTTGACACTCTAACCCAGTTGTGCTGCATTGTTGGAGGTGGCGTCCTTTCAAATGAAAGTTAAACCGAAGTCTTGTTTGTCTGTCAAGATAAACTTTAAAGATTCCATGGCACTTTCAGGGGAAGAAAAAAAGGGGTCTGTATCCTGGTGTCCTGGCCAACAAACCTCCAAATAAAATTAGTCACTCTATCCATGGGTATTTGTGGGATTTTGCTGGGCACAAATTGGCTGCTGCGTTAGCCCACAAAATACAAACAGTCACACCATTTAACAGTACATCCTGTGAATCGCTTTGCGATATCTCAAAGATGAGGGTGCTCACAAATTTATTCATCCTGTTCTGATTAGTATCCAATTTAACTTCCCCCACCCCATTAGTCTAAACCCCCTTAGTCCACTAACCCATTAAGACTCTGGGCTGGGACGCTACCCTGCATGAGGGGCTGTATGTACATGCAAGTTGTTGTTGTAGTCAGGAGGCACTGAAGCCCATTGCAGCTTTTCCCTGGCTATGATCATTCAAATTATTAGGGGTAGCATACCCAATTACACCTGTTTTTGAAGAAAGAAGCATACTATCGTTGAGCTTGAATCCAGTAGTTTATTGAAGAAAATCAAGTATTGTGGACAAACTGAAATCCAGGCAGATAGCTAGAATTGAACAAAAATGCAGCTGCCTAATTTGACAATCTGCAATGATTGATGAGAATTGAGTTTTTCACAGGGAGTTGATTTGTTATTGAGTGTAAGTGTGCCATTATTTTATTGTACAGAGGAGATTTGCAGGTGGAATGTATGAGACTTTATTTGCAAATCGGTGTGCAGAGTTCAATGGTGCTTTGTCAGAATTAAAGTGTGTTTTCTTTTCTAGGGGTGTCGTAGAATATGATGCTGAAGGATTCACCAAACTTACATTATTACTTATGTGGAAGGACTTCTGTTTTTTAGTTCACAGTAAGTACCATTAAAGTTGGTAACACAGATAGAAATGTTTAGGGAATGATGTACAGAGGATTAATAGTGTCAAAGACATTCTAAGCATCAGACAATATTCAACTACTAATTTTTACTGCTATTTTGTGGCTGGGTTCAGCTGTCAATCATAAACCACTGAAATGTTTCTGTGAGGTACTGCTTATTCTGAACAATTTAATTAAGTTATATAATACTCATTTGCAAGAATCCATAATCTCTACATGTAATTTCGATAGAGGCTGACACCCACATTTCAGATTTTTCCCTCTTCTGTCAAAAGTTAAATCAGAACTTGAATATTACTCAACCGTAGTCTATTTTGTAAGGGTTTAGACCCATTACAAATTTTCTATCCCAGAAATTTTGAGAGAAACCCCAGAATAATTTCTGTCAGTCAAAAACCTTCTTGACAAATAGATGGTTTGTCTGAATCCCAAAAGCCAGCCATTACACATCTCTGTCGTAATCATCATTAAAACTCTGAAGTCATAGAATCATTCTCCTACACAAAGTGAAGAATTGTATAGTGTCCAATCCTCGACTTTCAAACCATTCTTAGGATGTGCAATGAAAGCAGAAGAGCTAAATACCGCATTATAACAATGCTTTGCTGTAGCAACAGATTAGAGAATCATATGTTCCACTTCTTGTTGACAAATTATACATTTACAATCACTTTGTACCTAGAAGCTATTGTGAGCTTTATTTTATCTATGATTACATCAAAGTTTAGATACCCAAAAACACCAGCAACATATTGAATAGGAATTTTCCAGTATCCAGTACAATAAAAGTAATAGTAACCACAATAATAATAATAATCCTTGCATTTGATATAGCGCTTTTCACGTCGGGAGGACGTCCCAAAGCGCTTCACAGAACACACTGTAAAGGAATTGACTGTATATTTGTGGGCGAACGCGGCAGCCAATTGCGCACAGCAATGTCCCACAAACAGTCGTAGATTGAAAATGACCAATTTATTATTGTTTTGGGGTTTTGGAGGGATTATTATTAGGCTCTGTGTGGAGTAAGGAAACTTGCCCAAAGTCTCGCTTGCAAAGCGAGTGCTCTAACCACTGAGCTACAGGACTCCACAACATTCTGTAGGGAACTGCAACTTCTTTTGAAATTTTATTGTGAAGGAGACTAAACTATCCCAGATCACATCCATTTAACAAAATTCTATTTATCCAAAATATTTGTATCTGAAAGACAACCAGAGAAACAGTGGAACCTGGAATAGTGGCACTTCAAAGAGTGCTGCTGGGCTCCACTGCACAATAACAATAACAAGCTGCTGTAGCTTTCTAATCCAACAGGATTGCTGTGGGTTTTCAGAGACCAATGATCTTTCAGTAAACTACTTCAAATTCCCAGTGTATTTAATTTCTACAAAAGATGGGGGATTATTGTAGGATAAGTATGCAATGAGTCAATCTCCTTGTGAGCTATTGTAGTTTATTCTCATTAAGTATTGCAGCAATGGTTTGACAGAGATTAACAGTCATTAAGGATTAAGAATGCAGACTGAATGATCAGCCCTTTAGAATTGAACTGGGTGTAGTTGCTTTGCTGAAACAATCGGGTGTAAACTTTAGTTTGTCAGTTTATATCTTCATCTTTTGTGCCATGTAAATTTTAAATATTTATAACTTTATTGTTGCAAGTTCTAGTACCTTTGTGTACAGGTGGATTTCCTCATGTCTAAGATTGTCATCAATTCCATAATACTGTCTGTAAAAGTCTAGAGTAGAGGTTCCCAAATGACACAAGAAGGAGAGGGCGATTCTTTGGAGATAATAACTGACAATGAGGCATGCACATAGGAGGGGAACTGTGGTGAAAAGTAGGATTCAGCACACCAAGTTAGAATGCTGCAGAGTGGAGTCCTATAGCTCAGTGGTTAGAGCACTCGCTTTGCAAGCGAGAGACCTGAGTTCAATTCCAGGCAGAGGGCGAAACCTTGGGCAAGTTTCCTTACTCCACACACCTAATAATAATCCCTCCAAAACAAAACAATAATAAATTGTCATTTTCAATCTACGACTGTTTGTGGGACATTGCTGTGCGCAATTGGCTGCCGCGTTCGCCCACAAATATGCAGTCAATTCACTTTACAGTGTGTTCTGTGAAGCGCTTTGGGACGTCCTCCCGACATGAAAAGCGCTATATCAAATGCAAGGATTATTATTATTATAATTGAGAAATGCATCACAATACAATACTATATGAAAAGAGCATAACTTTGTTTTTTTGCTTCAAAATTGTAATCTAGACAATAACAACGTCTTGTCTTACAATTAGCTGGACTAACAAACAGGTAACGTAAGGATCAGTCCATCAGTGTTGTGACATTCATGCATTTACTGCTACCCCTAACTCTTCCAACAACCAGTGTCAACCACATATCGTAATCTTTAGGACTAAATTGGCCTGAGATAGTGTGAAGTACAAGAAGGGTCACGATATTCTGACTTGGAGTATAGTGGTACATTTAATCTTCAGTGAGGAGTGGTAGAGCAGGGTGAACAGTTCAAGTGAAGGTCGTGGGAAATGCCATGTAATTGATTTGAAGTTTGTTAATCATGTGAATGCTTCAAACATGTTAACAATGTCACAGGATCGCTTTTTGTTTCTTCACCGCGATGAGAACGGAAAGGAAATTATTAGAATAGATTGTTATCTAGAATTCAGTTCTTCAATATCCCTTTCCTCCTTGAATATTAAGCCATCTCTTTTATTACTGTACATGTTGTACATTTGATTCCAAATAAATACATAATAATAAGAATAAGAATAATAATCCTTGCATTTGATATAGCGCTTTTCACGTCGGGAGGACGTCCCAAAGCGCTTCACAGAACACACTGTAAAGTGAGTTGACTGCATATTTGTGGGCGAACGCGGCAGTCAATTGCGCACAGCAATGTCCCACAAACAGTCGTAGATTGAAAATGACCAATTTATTATTGTTGTTGTTTTTTTTTTGATTTTGGAGAGATTATTATTAGGTGTGTGGAGTAAGGAAACTTGCCCAAGGTTTCGCCCTCTGCCTGGAATTGAACTGAGGTCTCTCGCTTGCAAAGCGAGTGCTCTAACCACTGAGCTACAGGACTCCACAAAATACATAAATACATACCTAAAACAAGCACAGCATTCCAACATACCTTGGCAAATAACTTCCACTTATATAGGATTCTAATAGAAATAGGAACCTAATAGAAATAGGACCCATGCGTAAAATCTGTGTTTTTATATTATCAGTGAACTACTTTGATCATGGCTCAGTTTTCTCGTTATAATTCTAAACATCTACGGTTTGCCTAATTAAAGGGAATTTGTGGTCTTATCAAGACTTCTGATATAATTAATGTACTACTTTGAAAGTGGATTGATTTGACGAGAACTAGTTTTTCATTTCTATTTCATTTTATGGTAATTTCAAAAAGGGTGATCCTGTAAATCTAAGAAGAAAAGTTTCTGTAAATCACTCATCAGGTTGCTATCAATATTGGTACGTGTGAACCCGTGTTGTAACCTTCCTTATGACCAGAGTTTTCCTTCTGCAGGAAGCAGCTGTATTAAACCAGAAGTGATGTATCAAATTTGGGATGGGCTTCCATATATAAAAAAAACTTGCATCTCAAATGCAGTTCCTTATTTCACTCTTCACCACTTAAAACTGTAACCAAAGTCCAACAAAAACAGTCTTGCGTCTTATGTTTTTGTGTAGCCAGTGATTTGGAGTTACTTTTCCAAAATACACATTATAATTTGAGACCCTCTATTCCCCCCTCCCCGCACCCCAACATTTTTTCAGTAAGTGCCTCTTGAAAAAATATCTCTTCAGTATCTGAACCTGATTAACTAGTTTGAAGGGCTGTAGGAATTTTTTTAATAGGTGCTAGAAACCAGTACAACCCTGGAGCTACTGGTAACTGGAGCGTAGAAATCTGATGTAAATTTGTAATTGGAAATGATACAATTCTGGGCACATGCAGCAAACTGGCATATTGCTTCATGCAAGCAAACATTTGATTTTTCTATCCTTAAAAGATAATTAATGGGAAAAAAGACTTCTAAGATGTGTGCAACAGATTTGATTTTAATATCACAGGAAACTGTCTTTGCCAATTGCTTTCAAAAGGTTTTTGTGGGCTTTGTGTCAAAGAAAATGTTGTGATAAAACCCTCCATAAACACATGTTTTGCCTATGTAGACTGGATTAGTTTTGTAAGGCTTTCTTTGGAGCCATATAAAAAAAATGCTCCGGGAAGTGCTTTGGGTATTTAAAATGGTTTCTGTAACAGTGACCAATGTGCTATTGACCGTCAAAGCTCTAATGTTAGGGGTAGAGTGATCCTGTAACCAAGAACATTAAGCACATGACAATATGATGTTTATACAAACTTGTGTGAAAACATTTGCCTGGAATTAATATAGTAGATGTTGAAATGGTTTAAATTGACACACCCGAAAGTGGCATGTCAAGAATGCACAGAACTGTTTGGCTTTTAGCACTGAGCAGAAGAGAAGCAGGGCAGACAGAGTGTGCCTTTTCTCAGTATATTGCCTCTACATTTTAGTGACTCCTTACATTTTTAATACATGAAAACATACTATAAATTATTTCCTACTATATTTTATTGAATTGTTTTAACCCATTTCAGGTGCTCCTGTACAATTTCCATTGCTAAGTGCTGCAACTTTGACGGTGTAACTGCAGTATTCACGCTGTGTGTGTACGTACACATGCTCAGGTCATTACACTTGATAGATGAGTAATTTCTGCCCCCTAGTTCTCAGCACAAATTCATTTTTATGTGCATGGTATATTTTCGGCATGTTTCTCTTCCATTTACTTTTCACTGGTACTTTACTTGTAAAGTTCCAGCACATTTGCACCTTTCTGGTATAAGCCAATAAGTTTACAGTGTGGAACAGTTTTCCAGAAAGAGAAAAAAAAGTGGTACTAA